GAATATAGTTTCTTCGTGAATGAAACAGCCATCTTGAAAATAGGTAATGGTACCTAGAGGCATGCCCCACCTCCCAAAGGCAATCTAGGTGTTTGTGCAATAGAAACACCTGGGAGTCATTAATAGTGATGAGAGATCTTTCTGTGCCTACCAGGACTGGAAAAAAGCCTTGTCTGTTCTTGTCCTCACCGCCTGGGGCCTCACTGGTTTCTCCTTGTTTTTATTTATAGAAATTGACAAACCATCCCAGATGCAAGTGACTGATGTTCAGGACAACAGCATTAGTGTGAGGTGGCTGCCTTCAAGTTCCCCTGTTACTGGCTACAGAGTGACCACGACTCCCAAAAATGGCTCAGGACCATCAAAAACAAAAACTGCAGGTCCAGGTAAGAATAACCAGCATCTCCCATTCATCAGGATAAACAGAAGAGGGCCACACAATATGCTTTTTAAAACATGGCCACCCAGGTCTGAGTACTGTACATTTTCATATCGTATGTCAAAGTTTCCCCATTTGTGAATTCAGGGCTTGAGATTGTTACAGACTCCCTCCACAGCAGAATTTTTAGGAGAAGGGCATTCCTCATTTTACATGCATAGTTCTGTTTGTTGGTATGGACATCTTGCATTATTAGATCTCTCTTTGTGGTTTTATTTAGTCATGCACACAGAGAAGAGAGGTGGCCTAACTTTTTAAGATCCTTTTAGCTCTTGTTTTTGTTTTTATATAAAATCCTGGTAAAATTAGGATCCTAAAGCAGTATCTTAAAGTCAAACTAATTTTCATTTTTTCCCAGAGCAGCATCATTCATTGTTGGAGACATCATATTAAATTTTAGAGTGGATCCTTTAGTTTGACTTTACTCCAATATAGCAATTTGTATTAGCAATGAACGTATCTGTCCAAGAGAAATCATATCTGACTCATCCATATTTTCATGAGAATTCTACAAATGAAAAATCCAGGCCACCAGGCATTTATTACCAAACTCAGACAGCCACTTAACTGGCCTTACAGTGGATGACACAGATCCTGCATTTGCTTTTTATTACTCCCTTTGCAGATCAAACAGAAATGACCATTGAAGGTTTGCAGCCCACAGTGGAATATGTGGTTAGTGTCTATGCTCAGAATCGAAATGGAGAGAGTCAGCCTCTGGTTCAAACTGCAGTAACGAGTATGTAACCAATGCTTCTTTCCCATTTTCAAAGTCAGTTTTGTTCTTAGGCATCTGTATGCCCTCCTCATGTCTTTTGCAATTACACCTAGAGAAAGCCAACTCAGTTAGTTCGTTATCTTGAGCTGAGCCCTTTACAGACATTTTTCCTTCTTGGTGCTAAGCAATGAACATCCAGGGAAGGAAGTTGTGGAACTATCCTAGTTGCTGTGCTTCGAATTTCTTTTGCTCATATGGCCTCAGCAAAATCTCATTTGCCTATAGCAAATCTACAAAAATATTTTGCCTGGACCTTCTTTTCTACGACTGGATGGTAAAGTTGATTGCAGCGTGTTTCATGAAGCTGTTATGTTTGGAGCATTTGGAAAACTGTCTGGAGCACATTTAATGTAAATAATAGAAGGGGGAGAGAAGAGTTAAAGGAAGATTATAATAATCTGAATCTAACATTGAAAATCAACCTTGCCACTTCCGAGGTATAGAAAATCCAGGTCTGTGAGACTAACATCACACTGCAAAAACGAATCTTGGTAGAATATCGAAAATTAATATGAATAAATCCTCCCTGTGGGGACATTTTGCAAGGTGCCTATGTGTCTCACATACACCTACATCTTAATAAGTGATGTAACATTAAATCTTTTCTAAACCAAAAGAAACTTAATCAAGTGTCAAGTAATTTTTCCATTTGATAGTGGGTTAATTGGAATTGAATTAATCCGAGAAAATGGTATCTGCAGAACTGCTTTGCACGTTATAAAAATGCTTATTTCACAACTTGCTTTTCACATAACCTCTTACCATTAATTTGCCTAACAGACATTGATCGCCCTAAAGGACTGGCATTCACTGATGTGGATGTCGATTCCATCAAAATTGCTTGGGAAAGCCCACAGGGGCAAGTTTCCAGGTACAGGGTGACCTACTCGAGCCCTGAGGATGGAATCCGTGAGCTATTCCCTGCACCTGATGGTGAAGAAGACACCGCAGAGCTGCAAGGCCTCAGGCCGGGTTCTGAGTACACAGTCAGTGTGGTGGCCTTGCACGATGATATGGAGAGCCAGCCCCTGATTGGAACCCAGTCCACAGGTATATCGTTAACTGCACCACTGGGTGCTCATGGGCACAGCAGCTTTATGCCCTGCTGAATGAGTTCTACTTGAGCGGGCTATTGAGTCCCTCTAAAGGGGGGAAAAAAAAAAAAGAAAAAAAAAGCAGCCTCTATTAGGAAAGACCCTCTTTAAAAAAGAATCATCATAAAGTTTAGGTGATATTCAGGTACAGTCTAATACAAGGAGGTTTTAGAGTGGCTTGGCTTATAAATAAGGCCCTAAAGTGAGACGTTTGAAGATGATACTAAAATTGTGGATTATTCCCTAAACCCTGACTCCCTGTGGTTACACTCACTGTGCATAAAGGAAAGAAGTTTGGCATCCTAGAACTTACTCTAAAAAAGGAATCCAAACTGGGCCATTTCCTAGCAGCTTGATTCTGAGAACGCGTAGGTAAGACCTTCCTTCTCTGGTTAGAGATCATGTGTGGGGTGTGTGATTTGCTTAAAGAATTGAGAACCAGACACATAGGAGATGGTTTAGGGCAAACGCTTTCCACAATACTTTATCTGCTTGTGCTTTGTTTCTGAAGCAGAGTGGAATGCTAAATTTGTGTCCCTGTGACAGCATAAACCCTGGGGGTACTATCTGTATTATTGCTCTTTGCTTCTCTTTTCTGCTTCTGTTGTGAGCCAATTTTCTTCTTATGCTGCACCACAGAGAATACTTCAAATTTAGCAGCACTATCTGCTGTGGGGTTCAAATAAAGAGGATAAAAACATAATTCTATCTTTTTGGGGTTGGAATACTCTGTGAAATGATTTTCCATGCAAAGATCATTTATCTAGGAAAAGGGCTATTGCTCATCTTTCCATACAAATGGAAAATCAATCCTAATGGCCAATAAGCCATTTTGATTTTTTTTTAGGGGAAAGCAGAAAAGCAAACCAAACCAAACCAAACCAAAACAAAAAAACAAAAAACGACTTCTAAAACCTAAAGTCTCTTAGACTTCTGGCATTTACCCAAGTGCCTCCAGTGATTCTGAGAATTGGTAGATATAGAACACATTTTTTCAGCAAACGTTTTCTTTATTTTGTATCCCTTTTTGTACTTGCTCATACTGAATCTTTGCTTGACCAGGGAACCCACCTAACCAAACTTCTTGGAATTCACTTTATTTTCCCTCTTCCCCAGTTCCTATAAGATAACTCTAACCAATGACCCTCCTGACAGCCATTCCTGCACCAGCTGACCTGAAGTTCACTCAGGTCACACCAACAAGCCTGACCGCCCAGTGGACGGCACCCAATGTTCAGCTCACAGGATATCGAGTGCGGGTGACCCCCAAGGAGAAGACTGGACCGATGAAAGAAATCAACCTTGCTCCTGACAGCTCATCTGTGGTTGTGTCAGGACTCATGGTAAGAAGTGCCCTTTTTCATTGGAATAAAGTACAGTTGGCCCTTGAACAACATGGTTTTGAACTTCTAGACACAGATTTTTTTTTTTTTATAGTACAGGACTTTTTTATAAATGTATTTTCTCTTTTTTGGATTTTATTAATAAAATTTTCATTTCTCCAGCTTACTTTATTATAAGAATACAGCATATAATGCAAATAACATACAAAGTATGTGGTAGTCAACTACTTATCAGTAAGGCTTGTGGTCAACAGTACAACTTTTACTAGTTAAGTTTTGGGGGACTCAAAATTTATAAGCAGATTTTCAGTTGTGCAAGGGGTCGGCACCCCTAACCCCTGCATTGTTCAAGGATCAACTGTAGTTATCTCTTTCACAGTTTAAGGTAGTGGAGATAAAATATCATAATAAATCTTACTATGTTCTTTGCCTCTGCCATCAAATAATTTTACTGTAATATTGTGTCAAGTAGAATTCTCTATATTGACCTAAGCTCTTCTAGATGATTGTCTGGGATGGACTTTTATAAATAGTGTTGGATTTTTCATAGCTCTCTAAATGTATATTCATTTTGTTTATTTTAAAAAGGCTTTATGTGCGTATGTGGGGGGGGCAATTCATATGTCCATAGGCTGAATGCATAAATCCACTTTGGTTATGCATTTTCTGAGCTCTGTTACCTTGGCAAGGAATATTTTCCAGTTTGTACCAACCGACCTGACCCTCCCTTCATTGAAACATTTATAATCCTTTACACGCACATGTGGAAAACTAGCCAGGAATCTAGGAAATTGATGTACTTCTTAACATAAGGCCAGTTCCAGGAGAAATGACAGAAAGAGGTTTCAGAGAGAGAATAGAGTATTCTCTCTGCTTCTCCATGATCAGACAAATTCATGATTGGCATCTGTCAGATCATAAAGGAGAAAAACAGGCTAATACCCATTGTCCCCATTTTGGATCAGCTCAGTGTAAGAATGTAAGTTATAGCTTACTTAGTGTTAATCCTAAGCACTTTTATTTTTTTTTAAGTGGGTATTTCATTTCTTTGTACTTAAACCTATAATCCAATCAGCCAAACTGGTACTATTATTATGATACATTAAAATACAAAACATCTTTCTACAAATACTAGAATCATGAGCAAATTAACAGTTCTAATAAAACATCACAAGGGACAGAGGAAATCAATGAAGTACATTATAGCTTAACCCTTCACTGTTAAAAATGAGGTTATTAACAAGAAAAGCCTCACAATCTCAGAAAATACAAATTATCTTTCATCACACGTCTTTGTATCTTCACCTCCTATTCTTGACGTTAGATTCTAGAGCCTAAAGAGATCCACATTAGGATGGTATCTGGTTATCTATAGCCAGAAACACCTTTTATCATGTTGCCCATAGTAGCCAATGCTACTGAAACCTCTTTGACTCTAATCGTACCCCCTCAATGGACACAATAAGAATAATGGGAAACAAAAATATCAAGGCAGAGATATATAGGACCCTAAAAGACAAAGCCTAGGGGAAGTAATACAGCCACTGCCCAAATTGAGATCGAATAACATACTCATCGTCACACATCTTCAGGCTGTATGTTCACAGAGTAATTTGGGAACAAATCCATTATTTGCTGGGTACTAAAATACTTAGCAGATTGTTGTATTACACTATGGCTTTCCCCAGAAGTTTCTAAGATGGACTCCAAATCGCTGATGGAATTTTGCTGGAACTGGATCTGGGGCTGTAGGGATTCTTCTCCACAGTTCTGCGGCTGATTGTTCCAGGCTTGGGGGCACCAGGTCTGACTGGTCCAGGAATGGTTGCTCCAAGACTGGCTGTTCCAGGTCTGGCTACTCCAATTTGGGTTATTCCAGGTCTGGTTGCTCCATATTGGAAGGTTTCCGGAAGTGTTCCTCAGGTATCCCTAGTGGTAGGAATAGAAGCCTGGGTATTCTGCGGTTGCTGTGCTGTTCTGAGTCACACTCTTGCTCTCCTTTGGCCAATGGTTTTTCTGCCACCTGTTACATTTCATTCTCTGGTTCTGGAACCAGGTCTTTACCTGCTTATAGCGAAGGCTCAGAATGTTGGAAAGTTCTTGCATCTGCTGGAGACTGAGGTATTTCTGTCTCTGAAATTGATCATTGAGGACATAGAGTTGGGTCTGAGAGAACACGGTCCTGATCTTCTGTTTCTTGCCCTGAGCCATATCTTCCTTCCTCACTGTTCTCTCCTCTCCAGAAGTGGGTGGTAGTTTTACTCTGGTACTGGTGGAGGAGTCGGGGCTGTCCTGAACAAGCAGATCCATGGAGGAAGGAAGAGGAGAGACAGTCTCCACGTGGGGTGTCTCAGCCGATGACATTTGCAGGGACGCATAATTTTCTTCAGGCCCATAAATCTCAGGCATTGGAAAAGAGTCCCTAGAACTGGTTGCTTCAGGGCCAGGCGGGCATGGGGCAGAGCTGGATCTGCACTCATGTTGGTGAGTTGAGGGTAGACGGGGGGAAAAAAAAAAAAAAAAAAGAGCGAGATTGTAAGAAAGGCCCAGGCTTATGGATCTAGGTGGAAGAGCTGAGAGGAGTAGGAAAACCTCCAGATGTTAAGAGTCTGAGAAAGACAGACTGAAGTGGGTCACCACTGCAATAGTAAGAGCCAACCAGCCCAGTGGAGCCAAAAGTCCCTAAGCACATTTTTAAATTCATATAATTTACATGTGTTGTTGGTCATCTGCAGTGTAGGAATGAAATTCATCTAGGAATTTATAGTGCTGTGGGTTTGCTAGTTTATTTTTTCTTTTACAACCATTGTGTCTTTCTAATGTTGTAGTGAAAACACCTGTGCTTTAGAAGATCACTTGGTAAAGTTTATTGTGTCCTTCTTTCTAGGTGGCTACCAAGTATGAAGTGAGTGTCTATGCCCTTAAGGACACTTTGACAAGCAGACCAGCTCAGGGAATCGTCACTACTCTGGAGAGTGAGTAATCAAGCTTTTTAGTATCAACAAACATTCTCCATAAGTGGTAAATGATTTTCTAGATCACCAAGTTAATAGAAGGAATCACAGCTTGGAAACTGATTTGCTTGCCCATCTCTTTTTGAATTGCTGTTGTCACCTTTTATGCCCCTCCAGAGAGTGGTATACTGGCACATAAATAGAATCACTCCAAAATGTTATCATGTTAGTGTTAGGAACTAGGACTGATACCTAGTTTATGCTCTACTTGTTGGAATTTGTTTTCATAATGTTTGGGGAGGACACACTGGCTTCGGCTGTACCTTAATGGTACAGAAAGTATTGGACAAAATTGGGCCCAGATTCTAGTTTTGTGCCATATCAATAATTTATGTATGCTCTTTCAGAAATCACATGAAATATTTAAGTTTCCTCATAAAATAGGGATGCCATTGCATACGCTGAGAGGAAAAAAATGAAGCCCTATAAAAAAGGCCAAAGTACTAATAGTACATATATATATTATTGCTGGCTGGCCATATCATTGTAACTCCTACTACACTTATTTTATGTTACAATATATTAATAATTTTAATACTTATTGGGGTATTGGTAGAGAGTATAAAGCCAGACTTGGGAACCACCGGTAGTATCTGTAAAGGTTTTTAGTTTAAAAAAAAAAAAAAAAAAGATATGAGAGGTGAGTCTTTTCATATTTTTTAATTACTGTCAACCTTTCTAGATGCCACAGGAGAAAATCTATACATTATTATGTATAGAAATGGATATATTTAGTATATAATAAAAACACATTTTAAAATATCAAAACTTTCCCTAAAGGAGTCATCCAGGCACTAATCTCTGGTTGTGATTTGTGCAGATGTCAGCCCTCCAAGAAGGGCCCGTGTGACAGATGCTACTGAGACCACCATCACCATTAGCTGGAGAACCAAGACTGAGACAATCACTGGCTTCCAAGTGGATGCCATCCCAGCAAACGGCCAGACTCCAATTCAGAGAACCATCAGGCCAGATGTCCGAAGCTACACCATCACAGGTCAGGGAACTCACTGTACTGACTGTGTTCGTTGATTGCTATTCCCAACATATATTAGCTTATCAGTTACTCTACCATTTACATTGATTAAATTTATTGCCAGTGTTTTATAATAACCCAGCTATAATTTTTAAAAACCTACTTTCATACTATGATTAGAAATAGTTATGCCTGTGAATGCCTGATTTTGTCTAATGTTTACCAGAGAAATGGCATGAGTTCCATTTATTAAATTTAATCTTTTATCAATGTACCCTTTCTTATCAAAAAAATATAACATAATGCTTAGAACCAAAAGAAACTCAATAGTGGCATACAGTTCTTAACATTAGCCTCTAGGGCGCCTGGGTGGCTCAGTTGGTTAAGCGACTGCCTGCAGCTCAGGTCATGATCCTGGAGTCCCGGGATTGAGTCCCACATCGGGCTCCCTGCTCAGCAGGGAGTCTGCTTCTCCCTCTGACCCTCTTCCCTCTCGTGCTCTCTATCTCTCATTCTCTCTCTCTTAAATAAATAAAATCTTTAAAACAAACAAACAAACAAAAAAACATTAACCTCTATTATAAAACATAATTAAATTTTAAAATAAAATAAAGATCCAAGTTGTAGTTAGAGAATATTCAATATCTGGCTCAATTTAGGTCTTTTTGGGATTTAAAATTCTGATTCTAGTTACCAGTGACTGATGACAATAAAGGGAAAACACACTCAGTAGGTGCGTGCCCCCTTCTCCAAGACGGCTACTTCTTTTTTTTTTTTTTTAAGATTTATTTATTTATTTTAGAGAGAAAGAGAGAGAGAGCAGGGGGAGGGGCAGAAGGAGAGGGAGAGAATCCCAAGCAGACTCCACGCTGAGCGCAGAGCCCCAACGTGGGGCTCCATCTCACAATCCTATCATGAGCCCAAACCAAGAGTCAGATGCTCAACCTACTGCACCACCCAGGCCCTTCTCTGAGATAGCTACTTTTAACATAGGATTTTTTAATTTTAAAATTTACTTTAGCCAGTATCTTTGTATGCATCAGTGATTTCCTTTTGAGATAATGTTTCTCATTAACTGTTAACAACCATGCCAGGCTCTAATTTATCGCTCAAATGTGGACCACTTCTGTGGTCTGTATACGTATGGGATGATAGAGGAACCATGAAAATTGCAGATGGGTTTGAAAATTTTCCTGATAAATTAAAATCAGATAAAAAGCATCTCTTCACGAATCGTAGGTTTACAACCCGGCACTGACTACAAGATCTACTTGTACACCCTGAATGACAATGCCCGGAGCTCCCCTGTGGTCATCGACGCCTCCACTGGTAACCACTTTTTTACTGAAGACATGCCACTGACTTACACGTGATTGGTCATGTGAACTTAAGAAACAAAAATGAGGCTGACAGTGAATCATTTTTATAGTTATTGGAACTCTCAGATTCTCTCAAGTCTGTTTCTAAGGGTGGGAAAAGAGGGTAGGAATAATTTCCCTGGTTATTCACTTTCTTAGAGACTTAATCTTGTTTTCTTTTAGCCATCGATGCACCATCCAACCTGCGCTTCCTGGCCACCACACCCAACTCCTTGCTGGTCTCGTGGCAGCCGCCCCGTGCCAAGATTACTGGTTACATCATCAAGTATGAGAAGCCTGGGTCCCCTCCCAGAGAAGTGGTCCCTCGTCCCCGCCCTGGTGTCACAGAGGCTACTATCACTGGTATTGCTGCTTCCCTGTTGCCATTTTCCACCGGACTCCCTAGGACACACAAAGTGCTTAGCAGATTCCAACTGTGTCTTTGTTGCTGTATCATGAGAATAAGAAGCCCCATTTCTGATAACTTCAAAAAGCATCTTCTATCAAGAAGCTGTAGAGCTCAGTACATCTCAAAAGACATGGATTCATGAAAATACAATAATTCTAATACTGTCTAATGGCATAACTAGAATCTTTTTATTGGCTGTATGTTTGCCAGATACTTGTAAGTCCTGTCCTAGAAAAAAGACATTTTTCAAAACAAACTAGCTAATTGAGATCCTGTCTTCCCACTAGCTCTCTAAAGATCTGATGATCTTACAGGCCTTGCCAGACTGCCACCTGCCACTGCCCTCATTACCCAGGTTTACAGATTGGGTCTTGAGACAAAGGGATTCCCAACCACCCATACTGGAAAGCATGCCTGGAATGGGGAATAAGGGTTGTCCATTTCAGTGGGAAAGATCATAAGCCTCTGGTATTATTTTTGTCCAGGAGATTTATTTTTTAAACTCTGTTCAGGATATCATCTGGACTTGAAAATCCTATAGAACACAGAGATACCAGAAAGAGACACTGCTTTTTTAGAAACTTTGGGGACGGGAAAATAGAATCACTTATGGAAGGAGTTGAATTGGCTTCCTACAGGGACCACACAAAGATTGGCCACTCTCTCCTACAGAGTACTTACCTTTGTCTAACTTTTCATTGATCCTGCCACTGAGGACCATCTGGTTATTAGGCCCTAAGTAGATTCATGTAGACAGTCTGCAATGATCTCTCCCAAATGTATATCCCACTGGTGGTGTACAATGCTGATAGATTTTCTTGAATTCAAAAGGGGGAATAAGACCACATGGTAAAAGAATACCCACAATATGTTAGCATTAAAGTGCTTTTTCAGGTGTCAGATTTGATAGGAAAGTTATTAATTTACTAAGTGGCCACAATATGTGTAGTATTTGGGTTTTGTGGGAAAAAAATGAAGTCGATTTTACCTTTCAGGAGGCCAAAATGCCAGCCAGAGAGAGGACGCTTGCTTCCCAATAGCATCGCCCGGTAAGGTCAACTCCCATTTGACTAGCTGAGCCCACAGACATAACGTGATGATGTGTCCTTCCATCAGGTCTGGAACCGGGCATCGAGTACACCATCCAAGTCATTGCCCTCAAGAATAACCAGAAGAGTGAGCCTCTGATTGGAAGGAAAAAGACAGGTAAAGGGCACCTTCTGGGTAATAGCAAGATAATCAAGACAAAACTAATTAGAAGTGATCAATTTTGCAGTGAAAATGTTCTCCAGGTTTTGATACCTTTCTCATGGAAATTTTTTCTTAATCAGCTTAGCATATATATGTCTGTTCTTTGATAGCACAATAACCTAACATAATCTGCAGCGTTCCGTTTTATTTTTCTCTTAGCCAATCAATATAAAGCCTTTTATTCACCTTTAAAAAATCTAAGCCAGATATTAAAATGTAGAAACCAGGTTGCTGTTATTGCTATTCTTCCATACTTTCTGTTGAAGTTAATGTTAAAAAAAAAAATAGGGAAAATAATCCTTCCCGTTCTCTTTATTTATCATCTGGTTTCTGAAACTTGAACTAAATAATCGTACTTTTTCATCCAATTTCAGTTTAATTTGAAGAAAATTCTATATTTATACTAATAGGAGAATTTTAGAAATAAACATGTATGTATTTTTAATCTATTTTTACCATTTCAATTCATGAA